GGATTGAGAGAAGTAAACAACTTGCTAGGAAATATATTTACTCATCTGAAGAAATGAAGAGGAATATTTTTATTTTTTAAAACCAACTTTTGCTAATATTTATAGCTACGATAATAGATTCGGATGTAGGGTTCAGAAAGAACCTGCTACTTTTTCTTTCAAATTCTTTACCGAATAAAAAGGAAATTTTATTCCAGTCAAAAATGTTTCTTTCCGTTTAAAATAAACACAGGGAAGGGGATAATCAGAGTAGCAGTTGAATATCTGTACATCACTGAGACAACAGGTCAAAATTCCCATTCAATTTGTAGGAGATACAACGATCGCCTCTCTGGGATGAAGGAGTAGAAAGTCAGTCAGCCATGTTGTCCAAATCCTGATCACTATCCAGTGACCTGTGCTGAGAATTTCAATTGCTTGAACGTCACGTGAGAACAGGTAGCATCAAGATGGAGTCCCACCAACAGTCCAGGCTAGCAGACCTACGAGAGCAAGCCATGTGAGCCAGGAACCAGAGCATGAGCGACAGCCAATAAAGCTTTTGCGCCTTCAAAAGAGGAGAGAAGAAGAAAAAAAACTAGAGGGGAATGAAATATTACATGGGACATATGTATCAGTGTAAATTGTGAGGGTTGCACAAAGCTAACAGTGAATATATGGTTCAAGAAGCAAAGTTCAAGCAAATTTGAGCAAATGGCCAAAACCTGGTAAAGCTAAGTCAGGAAGTCAACTGGATGTTAACTGTAGCTAAATGGATAGCATCATTGCCTCTGAATCAAAAGTACATTTCAGAAATTTGGGCATATGAATCCAGGCTGACACCTCATTGCAGTAACGCTCTCTCAGCTGGGTGGAAAAGATCCCATGACACTATTCACTGCATAAAGCATCTCTCCCCAGTGCCCAAGCCAATATATATTCCTTAAACAACATTACTAAGAGATATTATCTGATTATCATCTCATTCCCAATTGTGGGATCTTGCTGTGCATAAATTGTCTGCCATGTTTTGTACATCGGTGCCCACAGTTCAAATGAGCTTTATTGGCTGTGAAGAACTCTCGGATGTCCTGATATCATGCAAGGCACTACCCAAAAGTCCTTTCCTTCCAACAAATAAATGATGGGATTGGGTTCTCTAATGCAGGGCAAGTAATAACTAAATGAGGGCTTTTCATAAACAGCAGCTAAAGTATAACCAACAATGAACCAGCAATCAGGTAGCAGCTCTCTGAAGTAAAAGTATACCAACCTCATGCCTGTGCCAAAGTTGGAATGAATCTCGAAGAAAGGGCTCGACATGAAGCTAGTGTCAGCAAATGATGGTTGATCAGTTCATTAACTCAGGGGGCGTCATGTTGACACAGTAGATAAATTCCGAAGGTTTCAATTATAAGGAAGACATCAGACGAAAAATTACAAAAGGCAATGTGGGTTTACTTCTGGACTACTGGCTGCGTGTGCACCTTCACTATGAAATGACAATTGTCACTCATGATTGGGGTAACTTTCAATTTTCTCACTTGGGAAGTACCCTGCATACCCTACATTTTACTATCCTCCATGTGCCTATCCAAGAGTCGCTTAAAAGTTTCCAAAGTATCTGACTCCACTACCACTGCTGGCAGTGCATTCCACACACCCACCACTCTCTGTGTAAAGAGCCTACCTCTGTTATCTCCGCTACACCTTCCTCCAATCACCTTAAAATTATGTCCCCTCGCAATAGTTATTTCCACCCTGGGATAAAGTCTCTGGCTATCCACTCTATCTATGCCTCTCATCACCTTGTACACCTCTATCAAGTCACCTCTCATCCTTCTTCGCTCCAATGAGAAAAGCCCCAGCTCACTCAACCTTTCCTCATAAGACCTGCCCTCCAGTCCAGGCAGCATCCTGGTACATCTCCTCTGCACCCTCTCTAAAGCTTCGACATCCTTCCTATAATGAGGTGACCAGAACTTAACACAATATTCCAAGTGTGGTCTAACCAGGGTTTTATAGAGCTGCAGCATAACCTCCGCTCTTAAACTCAATTCCCCTGCCAATGAAAGCCAACACACCATACTCCTTCTTTACAACCTATCAACTTGGGTAGCAACTTTAAGGGATCAATGGAAATGGACCCCAAGATCTCTCTGTTCCTCCACACTGCCAAGAATCCTGACATTAACCTTGTATTCTGCATGCAAATTTGACCTTCCAAAATAAATCACTTCACACTTTTCTGGGTTGAATTCCATCTGCCAATTCTTTGCCCAGCTCTGCATCCTGTCAATGTCTGTTGCAATCTACAACATCCCTCCACGCTGTCCACAACTCCACCAACCTTCGTGTCATCGGCAAACTTACCAACCCACCCTTCCGCTTCCTCATGCTGAAGGCTATTCTTCTCAGCCAGTTGCATGTTTGGACCAAAAGACTTTCAAAGTGCTCTCCCATCCATCAACTGATAGTCTGGAACTTATACACCAACAGCAACGCAACTTATTCCCAACGTTTCAATTGCATCTGCATGAAATTTAATGAATGTGGTTGGAATCAAGTACGCTCACTTTTGCCATTTGATAAATGTTGCTTGCGCTTTACCTCAATACAGATCAATGGTCTTGGGGGGACAGCAACACAAGCAGATTCAACAGTGCAAAAATAAGACTAAAGAGGGTTCAATTCAAGCACAGGTTTCAGAAACTTCACTTGTATTCCCTTCAGGATTGAAGAAGACCTGATCACTCTGTTAAAAATGATAAAAGGATTCAATAGACAGTAAACAGAAACAGACAGCATTTCCTCCCCCAAAAATCAAATTAAATGTGAATAAATTGAAATTTTCAATATTGAGATTGATAGATTTCTTTTCTTAGGTAAGGGTACAAAGGAATAGAGAGCAAGGAAAAGGCGAAAGGAACTGAGATCCAGATAAATCATGTTCCAATTGAATCATGAGGCATCAGATGCTCAATGGCCTACTCCTGCTCCGATATTCCCAACTGGAAATGGCCCAGAACATTCAATGAGTCAGTGATCAGCACACTGTCTTTTTAAGCTACTTTCTAGTTCTGATTCCAATATTATGAGTTCTTGCATTTTATTTACTCACAGGACATGGGCATCACTGGCTAGGTCAGCATTTAT